TCCCCTCCTTCCTCGTCTCTACCCTCCTTCCTATTCTCTACCCTCCTTCCTCGTCTCTACCCTCCTTCCTAGTCTCTACCCTCCTTCCTCATCTCTACCCTCCTTCCTAGTCTCTACCCTCCTTCCTCGTCTCTACCCTCCTTCCTCGTCTCTACCCTCCTTCCTCTTCTCTACCCTCCTTCCTAGGCTTTACCCTCCTTCCTTGTCTCTACCCTCCTTCCTCGTCTCTACCCTCCTTCCTCGTCTCTACCCCCTTGGAGGCTCCAAACCAGAACCCGATCAAGGGACATAACATAACAAGACAGAACAGGAGAAAACAAAACAGAACAGAACAGAAATGTACATAACATAACTGAAATAATTGGAGAGAACAGATTAGAACAAAAATATAACAATCTTAACACTAAAACCCGAATATACGGCAAGAAAATCCAAAATCACAGTCCTTTATTCCAGCATTGGTTGGTACACGGATGAGGCGAAAGGATCAGGCAGAGGTACAAAATCTGAAGGCAAAAAATGGTGGTGAAAGAATGGCAGGCAACGGTCAGGAAAACAAGGCTGGACAGGACGATGACAAAGCATGGTGACTGACACAAGGACGAGTACGAACCCGCATGAGACAGACTGGACAATACATACACGAGACAGGGGGTGGGGTTATTAGGGAGGAGTTAGGAAGTGGAACAACCACAATGGGTCCAGACAGGAAGGACTACAAGACAAAACAGGAAACAGATCAATGACATGAAACCTCATGAAAGTCAGTGAAAACATTTTCATGAATTTATAACCGCCCTGTAACGTTCCTGGCACTGGAGCTGGCTCCACCTACCGTCTCACTCCTGATCATCATCCACATCCCGCAATCAACCATCATTGTTTCCACCTGTTTCCACTTACACTTAAGATACGTCTCAGCCAGCCTCCAGTGCCAGAACGTCTCGAGCCAACCGGTGAGAAGTTCCAGCGTTATTTCTAAGTATCTGTCTGCCTGCCTGATATCCGACCCGTCTCTGCCTCTGATTTCCGAGTTTGCCTGATCCCCGTCTGATTCGTGTTCCTGACTGCCTGCCCGTGACTCCGAGTTCCTGCCTGCCCCTTCGGACCTGGACCTCCTTTCGGATTTACCCCTGGTACCGTCGCTGGATATTGGATTACCCGTTACTGAACCCGGACTTCCCTGACTACGCCTCCAGATTATCCGTCAATAAACGTTGTTTAACTGACTGACCGGCTTTTGGGTGTCTGTGGGTCCGAACACTGATCATTACACGCCCCCCCATGAGGAGGGAGGGAAAAGGACACGTCTGGGCTGAAGAAGACATTTGATCACCCTACTATTAAAAACCCTTTTTATTGATTATTTCTTTATCATTTATTTCTTTTTCCATCTCTCTTGTTGAAGTCATTTGTTTTCTTGCTATGTGTAATTATCTGCAGTATTTATTAAGGAGTTATCGTAGGTTTTTGGAACCAATTCTAGGAATTACAGAGTATTCTGATGGAGGATTTGAACCAACACACCAATATTTAACACAAAAGTCGCTCCTGGAACCGGTTAGACTGTTTTAGAGGTTCTGCTGTGTCTTGTGACTCTGTTGCCATGTAAAATGACTCTCAGTTTGACAGCCAACAGCAGAAATGGCCCCAGGCCCCCCAGCGGAGGCCCCAGAGGAGCGGTGTGAGTAAACAGGCCGCGGGGCTCAAAGGGCGCTGGGCGGGCGTTGACCCGCCGTGTTTGGACTGTGGGCAGCCCTCCGGGTCCCCAGACACTCAGAGAGAAGGCCAGCCATGAGCACCGAGTTCCACGACGAGGCCGGGGACGACAACACCTCCTTCTGGAACAAAGGTAGGGCTAATCCTGTCCTTAACCCTAACCCTAACCCTAACCCTAACCTCTAACCCTAACCCTACCGCTAACCCTGACCCGACCGCTAACCCTAATCCTGACCCAAACCCTAACCGTAACCGTAACCCTAACCACGACGAGGCCGGGGACGACAACACCTCCTTCTGGAACAAAGGTAGGGCCGACCCTAACCCTAACCCTAACCCTAACCCTGTCCCTAACCCTAACCCTAACCCTAACCCTAACCATAACCATAACCCTAACCCTGTCCCTAACCCTAACCCTAACCCTAACCCTAACCACGACGAGGCCGGGGACGACAAC